GCCCTGCTGCCGTCCACCAGAGCTCTGAGGCTGGGGTGCTGAGATGGAGGCTGAGCGGCCTTGGAAAGGAGCCTCGGGTCAGTCCTAGCCTCAAGCCTTCAGCTGTCCCTGAGCCAAAATGGTGTTTGGGGTTTGTTTTCTCTTCTCTCCCCCAATATATATTTTTGATAAATTAGCAAAAGCTTCTTCATCACTGAAGGCTCAAAGCACTTTTCAAGAGCTGGCATCCGCCCCGCGCCTTATGAATTCATTAATTAAGATGCTGGCAAACAGCCACTCCACACATGCTGACATCCAGCCGCGTTAGGTAATGAGGTTTTAGTCTCCTGACCCCCGTCAAGTGGAGCGGAGCCAGACGCAGGCTGCTGAGAGAAATCACCTGCCCAATGGCGACCTGTCGCTTTTGCCTGGCAGCAGGTGAGGCTCATTTAGTGGTCAGTGGGCCCTGAACATTCTTGGCATGCTGCAAGAGCCTCTCCCCCAGCTACTGGCTGGTGGCTCCCCAGGAAGGTGGCTCTAACTGCGGGCTCTGTGGCGGCCTCCTAACCTCTGCCCACTGAACCACTCTGCTAAGCCCAGATGTCAGGGTGGCAGGTTCAAGTGCCTCCTCCTATCACTCAAACCAATTCAGCAAATATTTACTGATGGTCCACTAAGCTGCTTCTATAACACTGCCTTGTGCTCTGCTGTCCCAGAACAGCTGAGACCATCTTCACTGACACTGCTTCTGCCCCTGCCTGCCCTCATGGAGCTTACAGCAGGAGAGAGCATCAAACAAATCATCACAGTGTCAAACTTCTTTCCTCCTGGTAGAAAGTTAAAGGCTCCACTAACTTTTATTTCTTACAGAAGATACTGTTAGTTGGCCAGTCCAGCAGGGACTCCCAACCCCACTCCTTTGCTCATCTCTACTACAGAAGTTGGAAAAGTGCAACAGATACTTTCCCAGCCTCACTGTCATTGGGACTGGTCATGATGATATATTCCAGAAATCATTTGGGAGAATCCTAGGAGAGCTTATATTTTGCCAATAAAAGGGACAAATAGTGTTGCTATTCCTTTCTCCTTCCTGACTTAAAGTTGAACATGACTGGAGCCGTGGCAGCTATTTTATGACCATGAAGAAATAGCTAAGGGAATGAAGAAATACTACCTCTGACATAACTGAGCTTTTGAACCAATGTCAGTAGCCACCTATCCACATATTTCTATGGGGGAAAAAAAAACAGTAGACTCCTATTTGCTTAAGTTATTAAGGTCAATTTTCTGTAATTTGTAGCCAAAAGTCTTCCAGATTTCTGTAATAGGGATCAGATCCAATCAAATGATCCCCTTTAAAATGTTAGCCAAGACATCATACATCTGTTAAGATCAATTGTTCAATGAAACTAGGTTGAACAGTCTGGCTGCAAAAGAAAAGAAAAGTACGATGACCAAGTAATAGCTCATTACTATCAGAGACTGAAAAACATAAATAAGTTTGACATCAGCCAAAATCTTCCTGTAAGTTTAGACTGATAAGAAACCTTTCTCTCCTCCCACACATTAAAATCAGTACCAGGCTGGCAATTTCTCATTTGAACTATAATTTTCTCGTTATTCAGAATAAACTCTCAGAAGCTAAAACTCACAGCCAGTTCCCCACCCCCAACTCTGAGATCTCACAAAGTGGCAAATGAGTCAGATAAAAAGACCTCACAAGGAACCACGAGTGACGGAGGCTAGAAGGTGCCTTGGTTGTCCTAGGAGGTGACTGCCCAGTACAGCTGGCCTGCGCCCGCCCTGAGGGTGAAGCTGCCTGCTTGGTAATTGCTTCATTACAACAAGTGGCGACTGTTTGCAGGTGCTGAGATCACTCACTTGTGGGGGTTTTATTGCACTCGTCAGATTAACAAACATTTTTGATTAAATCACCACTTCATTGGCTCCAAGCACAGGACTTTTAATAAGAGGACAATATCTACTGCTACTGAGCATCGATGCACATTCAATGCTCAGACCCGCTGGGGGTAACCGAGGAGCAAGGATGGGAGGCGGCCAGATGCTGGGCTTTTTCCAAGGCACAGAGTTACAATTTTCAAACTCTTGACTATCCAAGCAAAAAGTGACTGAGATACCAGTATGACAAATACCTGCATATTTATGTAGATCTTGATCTATCTATCTATATATATCTATCTATATATATATATATATATATATGCCTATTTTGAAATATCTATATAAATTGTGTGTATATTGAGACACAGAGGGTAACAAAAAGAAGAGTGAATCTGCCTCAGTAAAAGGCCCTAGAATAAATGACCTGTCAAAACTCAAAACTCAAAAGCCAAACCAGACATCATGATCTTTATTTGGACATAATTAATTTATAACTCCTGGTGAAATGCAAATCTTTTGTTATAGATGAGGAAACTAAACCCCAAACAGGGGTTGACCCAGCCACGGTAAAAGGATGCAAAAGAACTGCAAAGGGTGAGAATAAGAAAGAGCTGCTATTTATCAATTACCCACCCTGTGCCAGGCACATGCCAAGCACTTTACACATATTGTCTCATTTAATCCTCAAATCACACCATGAGGTGAGGTGCCGACTACAGTGCAGCCTGTCTGCTAAAACACACTATCTCCTCCTTTCACAGTAATGGAGCTATAGCTGGGCACATGGCCCCCTGGCTGGTGAGCACATTTCTAAGCCTCCATTACAGACAGGTAAGGCCACAAATCTTGGTTCCTGCCAATGGAAAATGCAGAGTTCAGGCCCAGGATCCTTAAGACAGTGGGTGCTTCTTCTACTTTCTCTTTCCCTGGCAGTGGAAACATCAATGGAGTGTGCCCTGGTTTCATTGATAAGATGATAACAAGACTCAGAGAGATGGCAGACCACCACCTTCTTTAGACTGTGGGTGGACAAATGATGCTGAGAGCCAAAGACTGTCTACTTCCTGTTTTTGTTGGAGGGAAAAAAGTTTTACTGGCATAATGCTATACTTGCTCACTTACAAATAGCCTGTGGCTGCTTTTGTGTTATGACAGGTACTACTTCTTATTCGTAGTAGTTATTTTCTATAAAATACCACCAAGGGCTGGGATGGGCTCAGTGGTGGAGCACTTGTCTAGCATGTATGAAGGTCTGGGTTCAACTTCAAGTACTGTCCAAACAACAACAACAAAAGTAAGTCAAGCACGGTGATACATGCCTATAATCCCAGCTCAGGGGGGCCAAGGCAGGAGGATGGCAACTTTGAAGCCAGCGGTAGTGCACTTGCCTGGCATGTGTGAGGCACTGGGTACGATTCTCAGCACCACATATAAATAAATAAAAATAATAAAGGTCTTTCAACAACTAAAAATAAAAAATAAATTAAAAAGGATGGGGATGTAACTCAGTGGTAGAGTGCTCCTGGGTTCAATCCCCAGCACTGCAAAACTATATATTTAAAAATTAAATTAAATTGAATTAGCAAATACTGAACCAGGTTCCTGCAAGCCTCTGGCCACAATGTTTTTATCAACTGATTCACACAAAACTTGACTTATATGTTTCTGTTTAAATACATCGCATTCAATATATAGTTGATTCATTAACATTGTACTCATGACCAACAGCACCTTACAATGCAGAGTTACAACACATTTGAAAAAAAAGTTTATCTAACAAGCCCATTTTGCACCAGAAGGCACACACAACCTTCAAACACCAGGCAGCACTCTAGCATTGGGGGTCATCTGAAACAGCTAAAATCACCAATAAAAAGCACAAAAATACAAAAAACACAACACTAAATACACCAAGAGAAAGGACATTTGTGTGTAGTACAGTAATGCAAACAAAGGCAGAATGTTCTTTTTTTTTTTTTTTACCTTAACTGGAAATGTGGATCTCTCAGGAGACTCAAACATTTTTTTCCTCTTTTATTTGCTTGTGAATGATGCAAAAGAGTATTGATTTGAGGGCTACGAATACATTTAGTCAGTAGGCAAATATGCAAATATGCAATCTGTGAATAATAAGGATCAACTGTAGTGACCCCAGAGACCATATAGTCTGCAAAGCCTAAATATTTTCTGTCTGATACTTTCCAGACCAGGTCTGCTGACCCCTGCTCCAGCCTGTTAGAGAAAATGACAGACTTTCTTGTTCCTGAAGCCACTAAGTTTTGGGATTTCTCTTGCATTCTCTATGAATCCTCACTACATGCCTGTGAGAGTGTACAGATGAAGTTCCAGGTGAAACCTGTTACAGCAGCCTGTTGCACTTTCTCAAAGACCACTCGTGCTTGATTCTTGGCTCCATCACCTCTACATCCGGGTTCCACCTGAAACTTCATCTGCACGACTCTCACAGGGGCGAAAGCAGCACACAGTAGGTGCTCTAGGCATTAGCTGGTTTTCTTCCCACATGCGGTCAATCCATTTTGAAGACTCTGGATAACGTCACCACTTCTAGAATTCTCTTGACAAACTCCCAAATACTCTCCAAGCTCCAGGCTTTGGTACTCTGGCGGAAAGTTCTCCCACCTCAGGCGATATTTAAGCCATTAATAATACACTGACAGCTCTTGTTTGGGTCCTAGCCCTTGGGGATTCCCCTCAACTACAGGCCTTCCCGCCTGTGGCGTCAACTGTCCCTTTGGGCTCCTCTTCACTTACACGTCTTCCTCGGGTCCTCCTTAATCCCATGTCCTTCCCCTTTAAGTTCCCTCGTTTCTGTCCCCACCTACTCTGGGGTCTCTTCACTTCCAGATCTCTTGCCCTCTGGAGGTCCCCGTCCCCGTCCCCGTCCCCGGGCCTTCCTAAGGTGCCCGCGGCGTGCCCCCTTACCTCTGGGTCCCCTCACCTCCAGACTGCGTCGGGCCCTCTCATCCCTCTCCCAAACCTGCGCTGCCCTCGCTTCCTCCCTTTGGCCCACTCTAACCTTGCCACCAGACCGACCCATTCCCCTGCAGCCAGGAGAAGGCAACTAACGATGTTGCCCCAACCCTCACTTCTCCCCTCACCTCGAGAGCGACGCCCAGATTCTCCCGCTTCTTTTTAGTCATTTTGCTTCCAGGGATCCCCCACTCATCACTGGACACGCCCGCTCGGGTGCACCGCGCATGCGTACGTCCGCGTGCTTCTCTTTCATTGGTCACCGGGGCAGCGGGAGGTGGGGCTACTGCGGTCGCCATCTTGTTGAGGGGCGCGTCACCCTTGGCGCAGCCATGTTTTTGAGGGGCAGCGTCCCGTTTGAAACTTCAATTTAGGGATAGGGAGCGGATAAGGCCTAGGGAGGGGCAGTGGCCGGTCACTGGGTGAAAGCCGCTTTACATCACTGAGAGCTTTTTAAATTTTTTTTCTTTGGTATTAGAGATTGAACAGGGGCGCTTTACCTCCTGGTACATAAGCTACATACCACCTTTTAAAAATCTTATTTATTTATTTATTTATTTTGGGAGTACCCGGGATTGAACTCAGGGGCACACAACCACTGAGCCACGTCCCCAGCTCCTTTTTTGGTATTCTATTTAGAGACAGGATCTCACTGAGTTGCTTAGTGCCTCATTTTTGCTGAGGCTGGCTTTGAACTCACGATCTTCCTGCCTCAGCTTCCCGAGCGCTGGGATTACAGGTGTGGGTTACGGTTCCCTGCTCCCCCTTTTTATTTTTTATTTTGAGACAGGGTCACAGCTAGGTTGCCCAGGCTGGTCTCCAACTTGCAGTCCTCCTACCTCAGTCACCCAGGTTGCTGGGATTACAGGCATGGCCACTGTGCCAGGCTGAGAGCCGCTGTTTCTAACCCCCTCTCCTGTACCCCTCATCCTTGAGCTACAACCCTACCCAGTTTTAGGCCAACCTCTCCCTCTTCCACTCAAATTAAGGCCCAGGGTCTGGGGATGTGGCTCGAGTGGTGGCGTGCTCACCTAGCATGCGTGAGGCACTGGGTTCCATCCTCAGCACCACATAAAAATAAAGAAAAAAAAAATTAAGGCCTAACCTGTAGCACTTTTCCTACAGGAAGACCTCCTTGAGCCCTCTGCACTTTGGGATCTGATGATGAGCTTCTAATGCTAGCCTTCCTTTTTGTCTTGTATTCTTACTCATTTCTCTCTCTCTCTCTTTTATTGTAGGACAAGAACAGTTTACAAAAAGTCAAAGAAAACTTGTAAATGAGAAGCAGCAGCCTTTATTGTGCCAATCTAACCAACTCCTACCTTTGTTTTAGTGTGTTCCCTTCCAAGCCAGGACTCACATATAGGGTTTTATACTCTTGGTTAGTACATTCTAGACCCATGGCCCTTGAAATGTTTCAACTGTGACCCCACAATAAAAAAAAATATATTTTATATCATGGCCCAGTTACTTGAATAACAGAAACCAAATTTTATCGATAAGTATATTTACCATCTGTGATGCACTGTAATATTTTCTACTATAGTCTGTTTAATTAAAAAAAAAATTAGTAACAGGAGACTTAACAAATTGGTATCCACTAATGGAGGACAAAGTACAAATTGAAAAACAGCATTATAGACATTTTCTCACATCTTCAGAACTATCATTTTGATGATGCCACCAGGTGAATACACCCCCCCTTCTTTTTTTTTTCCCCCTCCAGTACTGGGGATTGAACCCAGCACTGCACATATGCTAGGCAAGTATTCTACCCCTGAGCGACACCTCAGCCCCATTGCCTTCCTGTATTGGACATTATTATTATAGGACAGAACCTCCAAATAGCATTTAAGCAAACATCTTTGTACCCAGAGCTCTGTCCTTCTGTATTCTTTAAGAGAAATTCACAAAAGTGGAATTAGTGGGTCAAAGATTAAGAGGCCAGAATCGGAGAACCTTCTTTCCTGACCAGTTCTCTCTCTGCTGGAGTCTGTGTTACTGTGTGAATTATAACCTCAACTCATTGTTTGGGGGAAGAAATGTTTTCAGATCTGTGTTGTCCCCTTGGTAGAGCTGTGGAGTGATGGAGCTGGAAGGACCTGAGATAGCATCTCACTTGGCCGCCCGACTGCAGCCCACAGAGGGAAAGTGCAGTAAATTCTGTCCGGACAGGACGCCGGCTGTTGAGCAGTTGTTGAGTGTGGTTCTCAGCCTAACGCTCGGCACAGGCAAAACGCACTCAGGAACACTGTCCATCAGCTGTCAATCAACAACATTATTGTCAGAACACTCTTCACAGCGTTGGTTCCAGTCCCAGAAAAACCAGACTCTGTGCTTCCCAATTATCACAGGCACCGGCCCAGGGGAGGTGAGAAGAGGAGGAAAAACACTGTGTTCTTTTAGAAGTGGCTCCTTCTGCGTTTGTTTGGCACCAAGAAAAAGCCACGGAGATCCGGGTGTGCCTCCTGCCAGGCCCGGCTCTTTCTCCAGTTCCCTAAGGGGCAAGCTGTTCTCCCGCTAGAGCCTTGCATTGTCCCAACCAAGTCTTGTCACCCGGGTCTGAGGATGGGACAAAACACTTGACGTGGAGCTAGAACGGGAGTCTCTGTGGGTTGTAGTGGATAGTGGGGGTGGGGAGAGATTTTTGAGAGACCAACCTGAATTCTGATCCCAGTTCTGCCACTTAGCAGCTATGAGGGGTGGTGCAAGATAGTCCAGCTTGCTGAGCCTCAGTTTCTACACCTTTTTTTTTTTTTGGTACCAAGGATTGAACCCAATGGTGCTTAACCCCTGAGCCACATCCCCAGCCCTTTTTAATATTTTATTTAGAGACTGGGTCTCTCTGAGTGGCTTAGGGCCTTGCTAAGTTGCTGAGGCTGGCCTCAAACTTGCGATCCTCCTGCCTCAGCCTCTAGAGCTGCGGGGATTATAGGTGTGCACCACTGCGCCGGCCTCCATACCTATCCAATGAACTCACCATGGCAGGGGTTGCAGGGTCACTGTGAAATGACTGAGAAGTCAGAGCTGCCGCTTGGGAGAGACGGGGAGAGAGAACAGGACTGATGAGGCTGCTGCCAGCTTCTCATTACAGGGTTTTGCTGAGTGTTGCTGTTGATGTTTTTTGGTGTTTGGATTCTGGTTTCTCTTGGCTTTAACGTTACTGTAGAGTATTTGTTATGCGTTTGGGGCAAGTACATGTATGGTTTTCTGCTCTCACGTAGTTCACTGCAGATGGTGGCCCAGCCTGCACAGGGGGCAAGGCCTCACCCCCTCCCTTACTGCCCATCAATCAGTTTCATGTGTGCAGCCAGGACCCACAGTGGGGACCTCCAGGGTGTAGGGGAGGCTGCGGGCACCTCAGGGAGCCCACCAAGGTCCTTTCATCCCCCTGGCACTTACCAAGGCCCAGTGTGATTCCCACAGGGCTGTTGGCGGGGTCTTCCTCAGCTTGGCCGGCTCTGTGCTGACACTTCTGCCCACGAGCAGATGTACTGCTGTGGGCCGGCTGTCTGTGTGTCTGTCTTTGTTCCCCAGTGAGCTGTGGTTCTAAAAGACCTAATTTGTAGGTTTTTAGAGCTAAGTGTTTAGGGGAAATAGAGCCCTGCCCTGGCAGGCAGGAGCCCTGGGGCTGTTCCTGCCAAGTTCTTGTTCTGTGACCTTGGACAGATCAGGGCTCCTCTTTGGTTTTAAATTTCCTTGTCTGCAAAATGGGCACAGCAAGGATAAACTAGGCATCTTAGACACTCCGGGGCTCTGTTTTTTATGATCCTGTTATTTTTAAGAGGCCCAGACATAAGGTATACTTGTTAGCTGTAAGGTAGACATATAAAATAAGAACTAATCACTATCCTCAAGATATCTTTAATCTAGTTAGAGAGACAGACTGACAGCATGAAATACGGAATGCCAGACATCATATAATTAAATGCCAGCTGTCTGGTGCTTACTGTTGATGCATTTGAAACTCAGAAGAGAATGCTGTGCACCATGTACAACCAGAGAATGGCAAGTCATTCGCCTTATATGTACAATATGTCAAAATACATTCTGCTGTCACGTGCAACTAACAAGAACAAATAAAAAGAAGGAGAAAAAAGAGAAGAAAATGCTGTTTCGGGGGTGGAGGCTCTGGGTCTCAGAGGACAGAGGAGACAGTGTGGGCAGAGGGAAAGGGGCATCCCGGGTAGGAACCCAGGGGACTTCTTCCTGCCAAAGGCACGCCCTTTTCAACTTGGCACAAAAGCACTGTATAGGCGAGTCCCTGCCCGATCCTATTTATCCTGGAGGCCGTTTCTTCTGTCTGTTATCACATCCTGTGCTTTCCTGAACCAGGATCCAGACTCGGGTCCCCATCACTGCCCCAAGGGAGCCTTTTCAGAGCAGGGGTGAGGGAGAGTGGCATCGTTCACCGACAGAAGCATTTCAGGCAGGAAATGAAGAATTTCCTAGGTGGTTAAAAATACAGTGGAAGCTGATTTATGTTTGAATTTTGTTCCAGGGCAGCAGATTATAGCCCAAGTTCTGAGGCAAAAGCAGCAGTGTCTTTATGGTCTGCTTGGATCAGTTTTATGTCTTAGTGATTTTTATGTTTCAACTAAGCCAGGATGTGAGAACTTTTTTGCCCATGTACTTTGCTGGGGAAAACTTATATATACCTTGCACCCAGCCTCACTTTACCATATAAACAAATGAAAACAAGACAGAAGAAATGAATGCTCTTACTTGCTATTCTGTGTCCAGTTTTTAGTTAAAAGAAATCAAATAAACAAGATCCAGATGAGACTGTGAAGTAGGTGTCAGGTGATATGATAAAAACAGATCCAAATATTGTTGACAAGGCAGACACTGGATCCCACAGAATCCTCTTAATCAGAAAAAAATTTCTTGCGGACATTGGCCCCGAGGTAAGCCTTGTGGCCTTTCCTGACGTGCTAATATGCTCTTCTCTTGGGGCCACCTTTCATAACTGATCACATTCCCCACTCTCCTTTGTTCCTGACGAAGCTCTGCTCTGAACCTGTTCAGGGATTTGGAGCCTAAGTTTCCATGTAGGAGCATTTTCCTGGCTTTATTTCATTTTCCCACCCTTGTTGTTCCTTGGGCTGGATCACTTGTATCTATTTTTATCCTACTGTACTGTGTGCATTTTTGTAAGCTACCTCAAATCCTTTTTTTGGAACACAAAGGAACATAAATAAATCGATAAATACA